GGGTAAATATTAATCTTTATAAACATAATATTTTACGTACATAGGAAGTAGCATTATTTCTTAGGTCTTAACTAACATTTGAAAACAATGTAAATGCTAAATAATTTTAAATATTTCCTTTTCTCTCTTTCAGGAATCAAGGAAGGACTGAGGTAAGATTATTTATATGAAAATCTTAGTTAAAACGTGAGCTTATTTTACTTTTAGTAATCGTAAAGAGAGAGCATTGTTTGCATTTTGGAAAGTTCTACATTAAATGAGAGGCTGATGGTCAGGAGCACATTGTGATATACATGCCACCCTTGGGAATAAGTGTATTCTTTTCTAATTGTTGACTCTCAGCCTTTTCTTCTTTGACTCCAATATCCCCTCTCATAGTCCCAGTACTAATGAAACTGAGTAAAACTTCAGTAATACTTTGGTGATGCTTTAGTATTATTTCTGTGTGGCGAAGACATTTGATTTTTTGAGAACTTTAGATTCGGACTCAGTGAGTTCAGTTAATTTATATTTAATAGTACCTATTATGTAGTAGAGTGGTATAAATACCATGATCTTCCTTTGTGGTTGGAAGATCAGTAGTTTTATGTTTATAAATTTCTTTAAGGTAAAATTTGAGTTATCCTTAAAAATAGTTGTATTTGTTAAAATATTCAAAAATTAAACAGTGTCATGTACTTGTACAGTAGTCATTCAGACCTGAAAAAGAAATATATCCTCTGTTTAAGGAGCACTTAGGGTTTTCAGAGTAAAAAGCTCATTTTCCTCCCCTTTCATATACAGTTGAAAGAATATTAATTTCTTAATATTCTTAAAATATTCACTCATTCAGCAAATACTGTTTTCTTCTATGTGTCAGGTTCTTTGCTCGATCTTTGCTCGAGGATATAAAAGTAATGAGACAGTGGTTCATACCTGTAATCCTAGAACTCTGGAAAGTCGAGATGGGCAGATTGTTTGAGCTCAGTAGTTCCAGCCAGCCTGATCAAGAGAGAGACCCCCATTTCTACTAAAAATAGAAAAACTAGCCTGTCATGTGGTGTATGCCTATGGTTCTGGTTAGTCAGGGAGGGTGAAGCAAGAGGATTACTTGAGCCCAAGTGTTTTGAGATTGGTGTGAGCTGTGACTGCATAGCACCTAGCCTGGGCGACAGAGTGAGACTCTGCCTCAAAAACAAAACAAATAAATAAAAAAAGTAATGAGACATAATGATCCCGTGACCTCAGAGATCTTAGGAATAATTTTATTCCTGTTTTAGAAAGAGTTGTTCAGCTACAGACCAGAGAAAACATTTGAAAGCTGTTCTTCTTTATGATGGTAGATTAGCCTTATTATTCTATGACAGATGGGAATTAGATTTTTTTTTTAAACACAGTATCTCTGTCATGCAGGCTGGTGTGCAGTGGCTATTCATAGCTACAATCATGGTGCACAGTAGCCTTGAACTCTCGTGCTCAAGCAATCCTCATGAATCAGCCTCCTGATAGCTCGTATTACAGGCATGTGCCACTGCGCCCAGTTTAGATTCTCTTTGTATGACTAAGAATTAAAGATTTTTATAATAAAGTGACTGGGAAAGACTCACATTAAAAACAAGTATTTGATTTATAATTGAATCTTCTTTTAAGTTACTTTGAATACAAAAAAATCTTTGGTAATAACCTCTGGTTAATGCGTTCATAAAATGACTAGAAAGACTCACATGTTTTAGAAAATGTATTGGATTTATAATAATAAAATGTTCTTTATGGTTGTTGTGAATATAAAAGTCTTTTGTAATAACCTCTGGTTATGTCTTTATTAGGTGTCATTTACTTTGAATGAGGATCTTGCAAATATTCATGATATTGGTGGAAAACCAGCCTCAGTTAGCACACCTAGAGAACATCCATTTGTCTTGCAGAGTGTTGGAGGACAGACATTAACAGTATTTACTGAGAGCTCCACAGGTAGGTGAGAATGGAATTATTTCATGTGATTCCTGTACGTACTGTGCAGATTTTCTGTCTCCTTATACACACCCCTGTTTGCTTTCATTAAGGTCATTACTGAGGCTATTCCATCTGTCATTTTGTCTGCCTCTGTTACTCATATCATGCTTTGTTCTGTGTATTTCCTCGTAATTAGTGACATTTTAGCCGTCACTTAAGGGTTTAATTTCCATTTGGGGTATGAAGATATAGAACAAAGCAGATGGAAGAATGTGGTGTACCCAAGCTGGCTTCTAAGATGTTGAAGAAACAGTATTGTGAGTTTTGCCAAGATAGGGTCGTTCTTGCTTATTTTGGTAAATTGATATTCAGTACGTATAAGTTGTACTTTAAAAAAGACTGCTTAATATTAGGAAATATCTTAGTGTGGGCTTTTGCTCTTGTATGCCTTGTATACCAAAAGGCCTTTTTATTATATAAGATTAACTGCTAATTGATATTAGCTTCTATGAAGTTCTGTGTATATAATTTTAAAATTATATTTGCAGTGAGATATTGATACAGTTCAGTAAATCAGGGGCAGATGTTTCCATTTGTGAATTAAATATAGGGGTAGGTTTTTGTGGTATATATTCACATGAGTATCTATGTTTATTTTCCTCATTTCATGATTTTTATCTTTCAATGAATTTAGAATTTTACTATTAAAGAAACAGTCCACCTCAGTTTAATGGAGCTAATTTTCTCATATCTACTTCAGAAAGCTTATTGGTTATGTAAAAGAAAAAATGATTTTATTGTATCTTATCAAACATTTCAAAGAAAGCTGTGAGAAATTATGGTATATTGAAAGCATTATTGTTTAAGAAAGGAAGGTTCTCAGATAATTTGTTGTGGTATCTTGGATCCAATAGCTGGATAAAGTGATCTAACCAGTGAATCTGAGGCTGAGGCAAGAGAATGGCTTAAGCCGAGGAGTTTGAAGTTTCTGTGAGCTGTGAAGCCATAGCACTCTACCAAGGGTGACATAGTGAATGAAACTCTGTTAAAAAAATTCTTTTTTGGTAGAGATGGGGTCTTGGTTTGTTGCCCAGGTAGGTCTCAAATATCTAGCCTCCAGTGATCCTCTTGCCTTGGTCTCCTAAAAATGCTGGGATAAGAGGCATGAGCCACCATTCCTGGCCTTCATTTCTTTGTAATAGTATACAGGTCCATAAAATGTAGTTTTATTAAAATTAAAGCCATATTTGAATTAAAAATGTTAAGAGTTTCTGTTTTAATCACTTTATTCCTTCTGTTAATGTAATTTTGCTGGTTTTTAATAACTTTATTCCTTCTGTTAATGTAATTTTGCTGGCTTGTGAGAGGCCAGGCCCCCTTTGAGCCCATTTATCTAAGGACTGACTTCTACATATTTGTGTATCTTTCGGGGGGTTGGAATTAGAGGAGGCTGCTAATAAGTTGTATGGTACTTTCCCCTTAATTAAAATAATCTACGTATCATCATTCACATTTTGTGAACCCAGTTAATTTGCTCCTAGTTGAGTATTCCTATCTGATAGAAGATGTTTTATTTTTATGGTCTATTTTGTGTTAGCTCTTCTATCTTTGCTTTTCATTGAAATTCTAAATGATGAGTTTCTTAAGTAAATATTTTCATAGGATTCTCTTATCTATTACTTTTCCCCACTTGGGTGTTTAGTTTAGTATTTTTATCTACTATTTATTGGTGACTATTTAGATAAGTTCTGTCTTTTTTTTCTCTGTGGCATCCCTGTTTTTATTCAAACTTAGATTTTCTTCTTTATAACTGCCAGTTCTAGACAAAAATTTTCATTCATCTGTTCAACAGATACTTTCAGTGCCAGGCCTTGTGCTAGATTAAGGCTGGATTCCTGTCCTGTGGGACAACCATTATGTGAATAAATAATTGCTACAAGAAGTGCTTTAATGGAGTTATGTACAAAAAGGAAAAAGTAGAGTGTCTGTTTTGCCTAAAATAACTGGGAAAGGCTTCAGAAGTGGAGATAATATTTGAGTTGGATCTCAAAGTCTGTGAATAAGGGCATGAGTGGAAGGAAAGAAAGCAAAGATAACATTTCTTTTTCTGGCCTTCAAGTATCCTATTCTTTGTTTTACATTCTCCTACTTATTACACTCTGTCATAATGATCTAAAAATCTATTAAGTAGTTCTGGTTAGATTAAAGCAAAAAAGCTCAACTGCGGACTTGATAGTCTAGTTTATAGATGAAAAAAGTTTGGATTGGCGCAGCAGGAATAGAAAGGAGGGGTTATTTTCTGCAGGTAACAGAGGTAATTTTGACAGCTTGTGTTGAATCAACTATGGCGGAATTGGAAGAGTGAGAAGCATAGAGTGGTTTCTAGGCTTTTTTTTGGCTGGAGCGCCTGCATGGGTAATGAGACTTGTTACTGAGTTAGGAAATATTTTTTTTTTTTTTTTT